TCGGGCAGCTCGCCGGCATCTTAGATCACCTCGGGGAGCTTTGCTCGTTCCTCTAAACTGCCGCCCCTCCCCGCTCTACCTGTCGGGATCTTACAGCAAGGGCCAGCCCGCTGCCTGTGTCCTCACCAGGTCCTGCCCCCTCCGAGGCTCCTACCGAAGCTCGGATCGGCAAGCCAGAAATGCAGGCGGGGATCGGCAGCCCCCGACGGCTGCGGAGAGAAGTCACAGAGCCGCAGAGTAACTGGGGTGGGAAGGGGCCGCCAGAGATCGGCCAGTGCAACCCACAACGAGCCAGCGCAGGCGGGAGTGGGGTTCAGCCCTGTGGGCTCTGAAACTTGGCGTCCGTGTCACGTCCTGATCCCCGCTGGGCTGTAGCTCGCAGAAGTGTTCAGGTCCGTCCCCCCCCGCCCCCGCTTGTAGCTTTTCTCTACTTGTTAATAGAGAGGATTTTTCACTTTCCCCCGCTATTGATTTTAAAGGACTTTTCCTCTCCTGCAAAGCGTGTGTCTTGTTTAGAAGACCATTTAATTCACTCTTTAATCAAACAGGGAAGACACCAGAGTATTGGTGCCTGACATCTGTGGCTGTACAGGCAACCGAGCCATGCTCGGAGAGCTGTCTGCATCGATGTGGCTAATCCACCGCAACGCTGCCTGGTAAACCAGCTACCCTGGGGAAATGCTAGCCAGGATGCAGGCAGGCTTAGAGGAGCATTGCCCTGATCACTGACCTCTTGGGTGGATCCCATCTCCTTCTTGCGCCTCAGTTTCCCTACTGGCCTTTTTTTTTTTTTTTGTCTATTTAAATTATAAATGCTCACCCTGCCTGGCTATCTGGAGCTTTGTGTGTATACAGAGGAGGGGTCTCAGTCTTTGCAGGCCTTACTTGTGCTGTCCTAATTACAATAATGGGTGCACAGTGGTTAGAAACCAGAACAGGTCAAATTGCTTACAGCACATGTATCTCAGGAGCTCGTCTTGTAGCTGCATTAGCAGCATCACCAGACCGGACAGACGCTACTGTGCATCCAATGATGCTTGCGAGGAAGCTGGTTTCTAGAGAGTAACTCAGAACAAATCCTGGACTATTATCCCCAAAGCTCCTCTTAAACAGGGAGAGTAGTGACAGGTTTATTGACTGTCCTCCAGTTCTGGCAAACCCTGCTTTTTGGCGATCTGTGGTCCGTCATGCAGTCAGTCCTGAATGTAAACATCCTGCAGTTCTCACAGCCCCTGAAGGCCACGTCACTACTGAAGGGAAGGAGAAGGAAGGAAAACTGCAGTTTTGCTTGTACTGCTTTTACAAAGGAAAGACTCTGGCTCCGGTGGGGTTTAAGGCACCGTGTGCTGTTATCTGGTCAGACAGAAAGAGGGGACAGAAAAAAAAGCAGGGAGCAACATGCCAACCAGAATATCCCAGCTGAAATTTTTACACCTGAACTTTCCGGCCTAAAAACACTTGTGTAGAGCAAAATTTGTGTTCAGGATGGAGCAGCTGTTCCAAGCACCGGTTCCAAACAATTTCTGTGGTAAAAAAGCCTTAGCGAATGCCTGATATAACCCGGGTTTTCACCGAGAGTGATGTGCCAGTAGGGCCAGCACGCAGCACAGGCTGTTTGCTTTACTGTTCCCAGGTGGATCATTGTAGGCAAGTGTGTAGAGAGTCCTTGATAACACCGCAGCGTACTTCAGCATCTCGCTTTCGCAATGAATCTGTCTCCCGTGCTCTCCTTCGTGGTGCAGCACTCCTGAGCGAGTCATCCCTGCGCTGATGCTCCTCGGGGAGCAGGCACGGGCAAAGCCGGGGTGCTCAGCTGTTGCCGAGGTCGGATTCCTCCTTCGGACCGAGATCACTGGCTCGTGTTTGCTGTGTGGAAAGGCAAAGACATTGTGTGCTTTTAGATGAACTGGGTCAGGGAGGGAGGAATGCACCGACAGATGCATTGTGATTTCTCTGTGAATCACACAAGTATAACTGTCATAAAAGCTGAACTGCATCCTTAGAGCAACTTACTTAGAAATTAAGTAATTTCAGTCTTTGAACAGGAGGGGGGAACTGCTTAAAGATGATGGGTAAAATCCTTTCTTCAGTGAAGTTAACAGCAAAAAAAAAAAAAACAAACCCCAAACCACGAAACCTTCCCCTCAGTTTGAAATTCAGTAAATTCAGTCTGTGATAGGTTTTTTGGTTGGGTTTTTTAATGATTTTTTTTTTAAACTGAGTAGGTTAGTTATCAGGTTTATCTTTTTATACCAACACCTCTAAGTTGCTTTATGAAGCATGATATAATGATGTCTGTAGAATCATTTATATAAAATTTGAAAGCACAGTGTCAACAAGCTACTGAGGGAACTGGGGTGGTTTAGTCCAGAGAAAAGGGGGCTGAGGGGAGACCTTATCACTCTCTACAACTGCCTGAGAGGAGGTTGCAGCGAGGCGGGGGTCAGTCTTTTTTCCCAAGTAACAAGTGGACAAGAGGAAACAGCCTCAAGTTGCACCAGGGGAGGTTTAGATTGGATATTAGGAAAAATTTCTTTACCGAAAGGGTTATCAAGCACTGCAACAGGCTGCCCAGGGAAGTGGTTGAGTCACCATCCCTGGGGGTATTTAAAAGACGTGTAGACATGGTGCTTAGGACATGGTTTAGTGGTGGACTTGGCAGTGTTAGGTTTACGGTTGGACTCGATGATCTTAAGGATCTTTTCCAACCCAAATGATTCTATGATTCTATGAAATTAGTTGCCCCCTTCCCCGCCCCGGGCTGTGAGGTCTGGCGGGGAGCTGGCCCTTGCACTGGCCACAGCAGCACCAAAAAGCAGCTGGAGCCGAGCAGGGGACAGGTCAGTTCCTTCCCTGGGAGCACAGGGGTTTGGCAGAGCTACTGAACCCAGTCCGAGCTAAAGGATCCCTCCCTCGTCCGAAGCAGACCCCCTTAACTGAAGGGGAAGCATCAGAACGGTGAATTAAAATATACACCAGCCAACAGACAAGACACTGTTTCTGCAGATTCTGCCAAGTCTCTTGAAGACAAATTGTTCCTTGCAGCAAGGATGGAAACAAGGTCATTCATAAAAGAGTAATTGATGTCTGGCCGGTGACAGCCCTCCGCAGGGCTGATGTGGCTGCCTCCTGCAAAGGAAGCAGGCAGCAGCCGGCAGCCAGCTCTGAGGAGCTCCATGGGTCTGGGAGGTGGTGAACCAGCCTCGACCCTTCCACATTTTGTATGCAAGCTACGCCTTGCCTTTTTCTTTTTTCCTCCAAATGTCTTCTAATGTAATTAGAAAGTTGCTCTTCCAAAAACCTTTTGGCTGGAAAGGGAAAAAGCAGCCTATAATTCATTTATAAGATGTTCTCGGAGCCATGTAATTGCTCTGCACCGGCTGGATGGAGGGGGAGCTTCCCGAGGGGCCGCGTCTCGGTATTCCCAGAGAAGCTAGACAGAAATAAAGGGAGAGCTGATGCTGGAGGTGAAGGACTGAGATGTGGGGTGAAGCCAAGGAAGGGAAGATGAGAAGGAGGATTTTAATCTGCTGGGGTATCTGGCCCCAGAGAGATGTTGTAAGTGCTGGAGCTGGTGGGGGAAGGAAGGCAGGGCGGGGGGGGGGGAATCTGGGGGGGGCTGCTGGCACGCTGTCGTTCTCACTCTCCAGGTTCATGGTGAGTCCTCTCAATTAAACCCTTACTGGAACGATGCGTGGAAGAGCGTTCACACTGTTATTGGTGCTGGTTTTGTCATCTGCCATAATTTTCTCTTTTTTTCTCGTCTTTGAGCTTGATTTTGGTGAAAACGTTGACTTTGTTATGCTGTTTGTTTGGAGGGGGAAGTTGTTGGAGGAGGTACAAAATGCAGGGTCTGGTCCTAGTGAGGAGCAACCCGAAATGTCCGTGTAACCTCACCTCCTCCCCCTGCCAATTTATTCCATACCTGCAGGGGTTGAACCTCCCACCCCGGCCGGGTTCAGGCTTGGTTGTGCTGTGCTTTGGTCCATGGCATCGCACCCTGCGTGCTCTTCCCCATCTTTGCTACTTGTATCCCCCTTGTCAAGTCAGCATTTGATCGGACTTTGCTCTCATCTCCTTTAGGGTCTTCTGTTATCCCATTTCAGCTCCTGGCAAGGCAGCGAGTGATCTCACCACCTATATGGCCAGGCAGCTGCCAAAAAAATAAAAGAAAAGGAGAGACTAGACATATATAATTTAAGGGTTTTCGTAAGAGCTATACCAGGGTTTTCCCCAGCGTCTGATGCAGAGCCTGAAACAAGGCAGCCCTGAAAAAGTGGTGAAATGCCAATGGCACTGTTGTTCCCAGAGCAAAGCCCCTGGGCAGGGCATCATCCTGCTGTGAGCAGAGAAACACAGCAGGCAGCAGATGGACAAGAACTAGCAAAAGGCAGTTTATTAGCATGTTCACGTTCATTTCCAGGATTTGAAGTAATACATTTTCCTTTCTTGCTGCATATGGAGGAGTTTGGAGCTTTTTTTTTTTTAAAACCATACTTTTTAAGCAAAATTTTTGGTGAAGCAGAATTGGTAGCAGCAATGCTCTTCTTCCTCTCCTTACACTTGAATTTGGTAAACTTTCATGAAAGTTTTAATATTTTTTAAGTGATTTCAGCTAGATCATACTACTAAAACACTCACAAAAAAAAGTTAGAAACCAAAATAAACTGCAGTCCATTGGGTAATTTTCCCCTGCTACGTAACTTCACATTGGAAGAGGGACAGTTTCACGGAAAAACTTCTAAGTGCAATGATTTTCCAGTGGTGCTTATTCATCATCTTTTGCCATTCCAAGCCTAAGCTGTGGATTCATATTTGATGAGCCTGTTTGGCCTTCAAATGCTTTACAGGCACTTTTTTTCTTCCTTTTTAAATTTTTTTTTTTAATGTGAACAAGATCCTTTGGTCCAGCTGTCACAACAGGCAAGTGCTGTTTATATCAGGGGTTTTTTTTGGACCAGATTTGTTCAAACAAAGAGACAACGCATGTAACTTCCAGCTCTGCAAGCCTAGGGAAGAAGACAAAAGTCAAGCCGCCTCCTGCGTCGTTGCCATTATTGTTTAGACACTTCAGGGTCAGTTGCTGGCCTTGATTATATTTCGGTTGTCCTTTTGTCTAACTAGGATGGTGCTGATTTAAGGAAGGCGGCTTGGCCGTACAGCTGCCTCCTTGCTAACAGAGTAAAGTCCAGCTCCTTTTCCAGAGCAGGTTGCTCTCCATCCTGGTTACTTGCTTCTCTATGGACTGTGTGGGTTTTCCCCTCTTTGAAACTGATAGCCAAGTTTTAAATGCAGGGGATTGAATCCCATTAGTAAGGAGATGCTATTCTGGGGCACAGTCCTGCTACAGAAGAGGAGCATACTGTAAATACAACATTTTTCTCTCCTCCCCCCCCCCCCCCAGGGGGATTTGGGCAGAATAGGTTAACTGCTCCACAGGAAGCCTGGTGCTTTTTTGGTCAACCTCTTCAAATGGCCACAGTGTAATTAGAGGGATCCTGACAGAGAATCACATTATTATCCACCTAATTTCTTTTAAGTATTTTAAGCATTATGAGGGATATTAAAAGAAGGTGATGTTTAGCTCTAACTTCAACTAAACTTGCTCAAACGAGCGTATTAAATACGTCCCGATGGTGTTTTCAAATGGATATTTTTCTCCCCATGCTGTAACTGATGGTATTTTTCCTCTTTATCCTCAGGGATTTTTCTGTTTTGCTCTGGCTTTCTGCGGATTGATCCCAGCTGCCTGCTGGAGATACATGCACAGCACAGAGGTAAGCATTGGCTGCTAGGAAATACCACCAGCATCTCGTCAGAGAGAGATTTTTTTTGTAGCAACTATTTCTCCCATAAAAGGGACATCTGGTGGTAATTAAGCCATCCATGCTGAGGTCTATCAGATGCATGCCCTGTCACATCCGTCCTTTGCAAGAACAGGGCTGCCTTCATCAGCTGCCTCTCCAGTGGGGTCATCTGAAGGGAGAAGCCATGGAAACCCGCACGCAGGGCAAATGCTTTGTCGTGAAGGGAAAACAAAATGCAAGACTTGTTTTAAATAGCTTTGGGATTTTTTTGCAGGGGGTGTTTTGGTCTGGTTTGGTTTAAATGAGATGCTCGACTTTTGAAAAGTCATTTCCAGCCAGCTCTAATTCCTGCTAATGTCAATCGGGAGCCTCTGTTCAAAGGTGGTGGCAGGTTGTGACTGTTCAGGTTGTCTCTGGCAATGGCCAGGAGAAGCACCGAGGAGATGTGTTTATTAACCAGCAGCAGTGGTACAATAAAAACACTAGTGTGAAAAATGATGTTTTGGGTCACTGTCACGTTGGACCAGAAAGAGAAGATTGTATGAAGTCGAATTTGTAAGAAAGTTGGGTTTTGAATTGTTAACCCAGAGCTTGCTGGTGCTGTGGTAGATGGATGCAAGGTGCTGGGGAAGTCGAGTCGAGGCACGCAGAGTTGCTAAAGGACAGCCCTGCACATCGCACTGGGTACCCTTACGCTGGGGCTGGGATGCCCCTGGGGCCAGGGTAGCAGGCTGTTGGGGAAATCGGAAATGGATCTTAATATTTAGCAGCCTAAAGAAGTTTATACTCTTTTAACCCTTTCCTAATCTGATATAATTTGGGTTTTGTATATTTATTCCTCTTCCCATTTGGAGGAATTTGTTGCTGCTTGGTCTTAATTCCCCTTTCTGCATCCCTGCACTCAAAAAAAAAAAAAAAAAAGAGACCTAGGAGTGCAAAGAAATCATGACTTCTTTTTTTTGAAAGCAGAACACTGATATTTTAGGCAAGTATCCAAATTATCTAACAGTAATTTGGGTAAGTATTTGGGACTTTGGTAGACGTTTCATGCAATGGGTCAGTCCCCATCTCTGTTTTGCTCCTCCCCAGCCCCAGGCACTTGCCACAACCTGCAATGTTCTGGCCAGCAATGAGGATATGGGTGACGTGAAACATCATCCCAGTGGATTAGGGTCACCTTGATGCTGCCAGCTCATCTCTTTAGGGTTACAGATGTTGTGGGGGATTGCAGACCAGTGTGTCGGAAGGCTGGCTGTGAGATTTCGCTCTGTGCTGGAGGAGCACAACTCCATCAAAACCCCAGAGACTCAATCCGTGCTAGGACTGTGGCAATTGCACATCTTGGGGATGAGAAGCCCTGTCCCGTAATGGTCAGTGTCCCGTGCAAAAATTAAAATCCAGTCCTTCTGGAAGCAGAAGTCTAAAGGGCAAAGTCAAGGTTAAGGTGAGGGGTAAGGTCCTGCTTCTCTAGAAAATTTGTCCAGAGCTGCCCAGTGGCCACAGTAGTTGAAAATCCTTTGAACTACAGAGATGGCGACACTGGATCAGACCAAAGGGACAGGCACACCCACTGTTGGCCAAGGTAGGAGCATAAAAACCCAGCGAGCACAAGGCAATGCTTTTTCAGATGCCAACAGCTTGTGGCTCAGGTGTCTGCTGGTGGCACCGGCTGGTGCCTTTGCCTTTAATGCTCTCAGTGGATTTTTCCTCTGTGAATTTGCCCAGCTGCTTTGGAAAAGTTAGGGTGAGTGCTGATGGCACAGCAGCATCTTTTATCTCTACACTTACCTGGCTGAAGAGGATTCAATCAGAGCTGAGACATCCCTGAAAAAGAGTCTTTTCACAGCCTTTTCCTTGGTTTCAGGCAAAACTGTCAAAATTTATTATATTCACACTAACGGTTTAATATGGAAATAATTTTGTTTTCATGGCCAGCACAGAAGGGAGGCCTTGAGCACACTTTCCTCCTTCTTCTGCAGAAGTTTGTGATGAGAGATTGAAACAAAAGCTGTGTTAGTAATGGAGAAGTGGCACCAGAAAGTGTATCTGGTTGATCTTGTGAAGTTGTGTTATCCAAACAGACTCGTTAGTTATACTTTTTAACCCACAAACATGGAGTAGGGCATAAAAAGGCTGCAAGAAAAAGTTGTATATTGGGTTAATACAGGGATGTGCCATTCAAAAAAATATTTTGCTGAAAACACTTAAAGGAGATTACTTTCTCTGTGTATCTCTTTATCACTACATCTGTTTTTACTTCGAATTATTTTTCTGTTTTTTTGCTTTGAGTGCCCTGCCCATAAATGTACCCATGTGTTACGGTTAGCTTTTGTAGTTGGTTGGGATTCTTTAAGCAAAACAGCTTCCACTGGGCAAAATGAGGTTTTTTTGTAAAATGTTTACTTTCTGGGTAAAGAAAACCAGCAGTGTTTCTGACTACAGAAAAATTAAAAAAAAACATTAGAGATCGTCTTGGGTTTCTCTGCTTCCTAAAATGCAAAGAGAAGCAGAGAATATAAAAGAGGAAAGATTTAATTAAGAGTGTCACTTACAAAACAGATGGAAATTCGGTTTCTCTTGAAAGGTAACCTGTCTCACCAGTAAGAGAAATGCAGATGTGAGAGAGAAATGCAGATGTGAGAGAGAATTGCAGATGTAACTGCCCCTCCAGGACAGAAAGGCAGGTAATGCAGTGATATAGAAAACTGAATGGAGCAGGAGGAAGACTCCTGGGCTTTCATTATAGAGCCATTTGTTTGTCTGACTTCCTCAAAGTAAAGAACAAAATTAAAGCTGGTGTCCCCCCAGCCTACTGCGTGTCCATACTGTCAGAAATAGTTAATTGTGGAAATACGGGGGGGGGCAAATCAAACTCAGCCAAACTGACGGGTGTCTTGTAAGCTTGATGGGATGTACCTAGCTATCAAGAAAGGAAGAGAATTTGGGGATGTAAAACTGCATATGGATGAATATGCCCATTACACGTGCCTGAATCAGTGCCTCTGAGAGCACTGAGGGGCTACTACCCCCGTTCCTGGCTAAAACAAAAATTTGCATTTTTCCCATGAAAAATACATTGACTTTCCAGTGAAAAGCCAGACAGAAAATCAACCTGTTCAGTTTGGAAATGCCAGCTGAGAGCTGGCATCGGTAGATCCTGTCCTCTCCCTCCCCACGGGTGAGGTGCCGAATGAAGGCAGCACTGAAAGCGGAGCCCTCCCTCCCTCTGCAAGCCAGGAGATGGGGCATCCCTCCTGCTCCAAACCACAGCAGATGCTCTCGGTGGTTTACTCCTCTTGATCACAAAAAAAAAAAAAAAAAAAAAAAAAAAAAAAAAAAAAAAAAAATCTGGATGTCCTTCATAAAGCAGACCCCTCTTACAGAAAATAACCTGAAATAGAGAAGCCCAATATTCAGTTGAAAAACTGTTTTGGTGGTTATTTTCGAGAGGCAGTAGACAGAGAAATGTCATTTGAACATGATGAAAGCAAGATGCCCTTTTTGCCTTTGTGACTCTTTCAGAGCCCTGTTTACAGTACTTCTTACAGAGAAGCTATGCAGGACAGGAAAAAAGAAGAGTTATTTGTAAATATTTGATATTTTCAGACCTGAGCACTGTAAACAAAATGTGAATCATCTCATTTCCCATTCTTTTCTGCTTTTGTGACCTTCTGTAGCTCCTGAACGAATTCTTTCAGACAGATGCCACGTTTTAATTTCAAGTTACCTGCATTCCAGATAGACTCAGTGTCACCATAGTCTTTATTCTTAAAATAACATATACCAGACATGCAAAATCATGAATCTGAGATTTATTGTGCTTTATCCTAAAAGGTTGATCATTCTGTTCAGCATCATAATTACTCCTGCTCTATTGACCCACCCACATGGCCAGTGAATGGGTTCTGTGAGGTCCAGGCATCCCCCATACTGTCTTCTCAGGCTGCTTTGCATCCCTCTGTCTGCGTTAAAGTACTTTTAACGAGGAACTAATAACCTACCCATTCCCAAAGTATGTTTGTCTGGTAGGTTCTGCAAAGAAAATGGTGGACAAAATGGGGAAGAACAAATAAGTCAGAGTAACATCGCAGATCCTCTACCTCTCTTGCCAGCATGCAGCCTTTCTGTGAGCGTCCAGCCCCTGTTTACAAAGAAACACTTTGCCTCTTAGCCTATGGCACCAACAGAAGAGTTGCTTGGAGAGGTGTCAGAACTCCTCTGGGCAGGTCGGCTGCTCAGAGGAAAATCTGAAATGAAAATATTTGTAATCTGAAGGTTGTTGAAGGATCTTTTCTCCTGCTAGCTGTAGTGCTGAGCTGTTCACGTTTCAGTATTTTCTAGCTCGGCTTGTTCCTGAGCCCCATCCTCACCTGCTGCCCCCAGCACTCCTCCTTCACCCCCGTCCCATCACGCTCTCAAGCCCACAGCTCCAGAAACACCCCAGCCCGGTGTCCAAGCCCCTGTGAAACTCTGGTGTGCTTTTCTGTCCGGCCCAAATCACTTGAGAGAGTCGATCCCTTTCCACACCTGACCTAGTGCAGACAAGGGTCCCCATGAGGGTGAGGAGCACGTTTGGTTGCCCTCCCTATGGGCCATCTGGCCAAAAGGTGGTCTTGGTGGGAGATGTGGTCTTGGTAGGAAAGTGTCACAAACCCGTCTGAGGAACAACAGCGGTAGTGCAATCAAAGCAAATGAGAGACCAACATACAAGGGAGGGCAGGGAGGATGACCTCTGTGCGAGCACCTTTGATGGAGCAGCTGTGGTAACCATGGAAATTATGAGGTTGTCGGATGGTTTTCAGCCACATGAGGAAGTCTTGGTTCCTGAAGCCAAAGAGCTGAGTCTTGTTTTCCAAAGTTATTTTTATGGCAGCTCCTTTCCCACAAACTGCTGCCTGTTTAAGTGAGGTCTCTTAGTCTTAGTCTCCAATGCAGCTGGGGCCTGGGATGCAGAGAAGGACGTAGAAGGG